GATGATTTTCCTCCCCACAGAGCCCAGGTTGATCTGACCCCTCTGCTCCTGCACTTTTTTTGGGAATTCAGCTCCCTCCATTACCAGCACTGACCTAAATGTGTCCATTTTATTGCCAAGTCTTAAAAAGTCATCAAAATTCTGGAATATTGTCAAGGTTGGGAGCTCCAGGTGGAAGTGTCTGAGGGAATTTCCAATGGTGCCAATAATGCCAATAATTATAATAATGAAATATAAATATTAATCATAATTAATGAATTAATTTTAATACTTACTTTAATATTTTAATATTTAATGCTCAATATTTTAATACTTATTTTAGTCATCTTAATAATTTAATTAATTATATTAATAATGATGCAATTATAATGATTATTATAATTATAAATAAAATTAAAATAATAATGATAATGCAGCAACACTAATAGTGCAGGGGATGGCATGAGTTCAGCTTTAAGGTCCTTCCAATCTGAACCTTTCCATGATTTTAGGGCAAGAAATCTTTTAATAATCCTCTTTTATTCCCAATATTTATTCTTACACTCTCATGCAATGGTAAAATGATTTTTTAAACTTCACAGCAGCTTTTGGAGCAGAATTGGAATTAAGATCTCACTTTTCCTCTGCTGATTATTAAATGTATTTTGATCTTCCAGTGGAAATCTGAGATTTCCTGACTGGATAAAGTGCACATGGAATTGCAGTTTCCAGGTGTTTTATTTCCCTGCAGGGGCATTGCAGCTGCATTCATTAAAAAATGCTTCTGCCTTAATAAGTTGGGTGAAAAAAATGCAATTACCATGCCAGGCCATGAACAGCCAGAGGAGACAGCAGAGCTCTGATTCTCAATCCAAGGAAAAAAAAAAGAACTAAATAAATTTATTTTAAATTATATTAACTTTACATGATATTTATATTTATCTTAAAATTTATTAAACAATTATATATAAAAATATAAATAAATATATAAATAAAATATATAAATAAAATATATGAATAATATATATAATAACATATATAATAACAATATATATTTATATATATAGAAATTATTTTATAAATTTCTTTTATAAAAATGAAACTTTTTATCCTGCTACCATCAACAGCCCAATAAAGACCCGGACACCATAACTCTTTAAATTTGACTTTTTTATTTCATTGCAGAAGAAAATCCAACGTAGGCCTCATTACGTTATGCATCTTTAATTATAAAAATAAGCAAAGAAAATAACTTGCCTCTCTCTCCTCGCTATGATATGTTTCAAATAACCTTTATATGAACACACGGAGCTTTACAAATGTCATGGAAACAATAAATAAGGACATATACCAGATATGCTCACTGTTTATTCCAGTACTCAGCAAAAAAAACCAAAACCCAAACCCCCCCAAAACCCCCAAACTCTCTCCCTTTTCCCTTTTCTAGGTCTTTTTAAATTATAAATACAAATAATGCAAATTCCAAATGGCACAAAAACGTCTAAAGTGCAAACAAACACGAGACTCATGCAAACCTTCCCAGAGAAGCCCCTCCCCGCCCCGAGAGAAAAAAAAATCCTTTTGTGAGACCAAAACCACGAAGCAGAGATGAACTCCAGGGTGAAATTGCTGGACTTGGTCGTGGGGATCATTCCCCACCCCGAGGGATTTCTCACACCCAAATCCAAACCTTTCCCTCATTCCTGAGGGATGGGCAGAGCTCCCAAATCCCCTCAGAAGAGACCCCAAATTTCCCTCCTGAGGGATGGGCAGAGCTCCCAAATCCCCTCAGAAGAGATCCCAAATTTCCCTCCTGAGGGATGGGCAGAGCTCCCAAATCCCCTCAGAAGAGATCCCAAATTTCCCTCCTGAGGGGTGGGGAGAGCTGGGAGTGTCCAGCTCGCGTGAGGGATCCCAAATTCCTCCCTGCTCCAGCACAGGGACAAAAGTGGCCTCAAAGCAGCTCAAAAATTGGGAGTTGTGGTTTTTTGGGACAGGGATGGCACTGGGGGAGCTCCCTGGGGTATTCCAGGGATGATCCCCTGGGTCACCACAGCAAACCCCAACAGGGGGAATCATCTCCCTGCTCCTTTTCCCACCCTCATTCAGGAGACAAAGTTGGAATTGCTGCTGGAAAGGGAAATTTCATCATGGCACCCCAAAACCAGATGGGACTGGGAGGCCCAAGGCTCCTCCCCAGCCCCAAATCTGTTTTAGGCACCTTTTTGGGGTTGCAGAGCAATGGGTGGGTGGAGAAGCCACTTTCCATATCCCTGCCCCGGTGTCCTTGGAAAGCTCCTGGGAGCTTTGGGGTCCCACAGTGGGAGTTCTGGAGCACTCCCAGGTGGGGCTGGAGCACTGCCCCGAGGCAGGGAAAGACTTTTTGTGACCAATTCCCAAATAAAAGCACGGACTGGAGGCACAAACCCCAGCAGAATTCCCTGGCTCCCAACAGCTGCAGGGTGGGGAGTCAGGGATGCGCTCCTGGGATCAATTCCTAAATATAATCCCAATTTTAGGGTTGGGATATTCCAGAAGCTTTTGGTTTTCACCTCTCAGAACTTCTTTGTGTTGGCCTCTCAATCCCTGCCTGATTCAGGAACTTTGCATCTTCCTTGCCCTGCACGGCTCTGTTCGGAGTATCCCAAAAAAATTACAAATTCCAACCCTCCACCAATATCAGCAATTTTTTTTTGCTGCTTCCAATTCTCTGCCAGCACTTCTACATTTCGTGAAGACAGCGACATCTGAAACGCTGCCACTGCATCTGGTTTTGATATTTTAGCAGCAAGTTCTGGTTTAAAGGCTTTGTGGTTTCCCAAACAACACAAAAAAATAAAATAATATTGCTTCAGGTTTCCGTAAGAAAAACAGAGATCCCTCCTTTATCAGCTCTCCAACGCTCTGAGGCAGAGTCTCCCATTCTGCAGGGACTCCGAGGCTTGGATTTGGGATTGGCCTGGCGGATCCCACACCACAAAAGGGCCTTTGGTGGATCCCAATCAACAAAGGGCCTCTGGTGGGCCCCACACCACAAAGGGCATTGGGTGGATCCGAATCCACAAAGCGCATTTGGTGGATCCCAATCGACAAAGGGCCTTTGGTGGATCCCACACCACAAAGGGCATTGGGTGGATCCCAATCCACAAAGAGCATTGGGTGGATCCCACACCACAAAGGACATTTGGTGGATCCCACACCACAAAGAGCATTTAGTGGATCCCAATCCACAAAGGGCATTTGGTGGATCCCAGTCCACAAAGGACATTGGGTGGACAACACATCACAGAGGGCATTGGATGGGTCCCAATCCACAAAGGTCCTCTGGTGGATCCCACACCACAGAGGGCATTGGGTGGATCCCAACCCACAAAGGGCATTGGGTGGATCCCAATCCACAAAGGGAATTGGGTGGATCCCACACCACAAAAGGGAATTTGTGATCCCACATCACGAGGACATTTGGTGGATCCCACCCCACAAAGGGCATTGGGTGGACACCGCACCACAAAGGGCATTGGGTGGATCCAAAGGACATTTTTTGGCTCCCCAGGGCCTGGCTGTGCTGTGGAGCAGCTTTGGGGTTTCCAGCTCTGCTCCTCCTCCCAGAGCCTGCTGAGGAGGAGGAGGAGGGTGGAGGAAGGGCAGCTCCCAGAGCATTCAATGTGTCCTCAGCTTTCCCACTGGAGCTTGAGAGAATTACAGATTTTCCCTGCCTTGCCCCAGAAATCCTGAAGGGAATTTTGCCCCGTGAGATTCCCAAAGGATCTGACAATTCCAGAATTCCCAGCAGCTCTGCCCTGGCTCTAAGTGCATTTCCTGGCAGCCCAGTGGGGACAGGACTGACCAGCCTGAACTTGGGTTTTTAATGGATTTTGCCTCAATTTCAGCTCTGAAAGGCTGTTCCTGGTCCTGCGATTCCCGTCCTGAACCTTTCCCCTCTTCCTTTCTTAAAAGGCCACAGAGTAGAATGTGAACTCCTGACTATGACAGAGGTCCTGCTTCCAGGAAAAAGAAAGCAATAACAATAATAATAACAACAATAATAATAACAATAATAATAAAAGAAAGAGCTGACTTACAAAACTCAGTTTAGGCAATAAAGTTATTCTGTTCTGCTCCTTTGGAGCAGACTCTGGTGGAGTTTATGTACAGTACAGACAGATTTTAGCACTATTTATACCACAGTTAGAGCAAGGCCTTTAATACTCTAATCTTAAGACAGGCTTTGTTTCTGTTAGGCTTGGTTTAAAGCTTCAGGCAGTTAAATACAGTACAGAGATGTGAGCTTTGAAATACAACACACGATTATGGGACCTCCTGACCAGCTGCAGCCACAACCTCTTTCCATGGTGGAACACGTCCCTCTCCTGCTTTTGGGCTTTGTGGGGTGGTTTGAGCTCATTTTGCACCATGGTGCCAGCTCCTGGTGATTAAACCATGCAGAGAGTTTGGTAAATCCCGACTTAAACGTGTTCACAGCACTCTGCTGGAAGGATCAGGGCTGAGGGAGACACTACAGGACCAGGAACGTGACATCCATGCTCGTCCATGGCCAGCACAGATTCATGACATGAATCCCACGGATGTTTTTAGGATCTGTGAGAGTTTTTAGGATGTGTGAGAGTTTTTAGTGCATTTTTCATCACCTGCAGGAGAGGAGCGGCTCCTCCCCTCAGTGCTGAACCTCCAGGCCTGGCTGGTGTCACCACAACAGCTTGGGACAAACTCAGCCTCCAAACCTTGGGAGTTTGGTGCCTGAAGGCCCGACCACTGTAGGGATCTACTAAAGACTAAGATTTTTTAGGATAACAGATTTTTGTGTGGGAAAGAGAAGAGACAGAGCCGTCTGGCTGGCGGGAAAGCCGCGACACCGAACACAGACCCATGCAGAAGTGTTGTTGGAGAGGAACAGAGAAGATGAACTAGCAAAACGAGCCCTAAGGAACTAAACCCAGCTCCTGGGGGTCACAACACCTACAGTCCGCTGGCTTTGGGTGCAGCACTCCTAGAGCAGAGCCCTCAGCTTTGGTCGTGCTCGGCCTGCCCGGCCCGGTCAGGCGCGCTCGGCGGAGCCGCGCTTGGCGTGGGCGGCTGTGGAGCCCTCACCTCGCAGGTTCCTGAGCAGCAGCTTCAGCTTCTGGGGCTCCGAGAGCCTCCTGCGCAGCAGCTCGGCGCGGGGGTGGCCCTGGGCGCAGTGGTCGCTCTGCAGCAGGTGGAACAGGCTGGCCATGTTGGGGCCCAGCTTCTCCATCAGGCTCTCCTTGATGGTGCTCACCGTGTCCTCGTCGCACTCCAGCAGGCTCCGAACCAGCTTGTTGTAATACCTGCAGGACAAGGACCCGGTTAGACCACGGTGTCATCCTGCAGCAGGCTCTGGGCTTGCTAGGGCCCCATGGAGAGCCGAGGCTTAACGACAGGAAATGCCAAGTCATGGTGAAATAGTGTAGTCATGATATTTTCTGAAAAATCCTTTCCTTAGGATTTTTTCTCCCAAGAAGCTGGGAGGCCTCAGGAACAAAATGCAAACAATGGTTATCTGCTGCTGTGGAATGCAACAGGTGCATCTGTGATTGGTCTCAGAGTTGTTTCTAATTAATGGCCAATCACAGTCAGCTGGCTCGGGCTCTCTGTCTGACACAAAAGCCTTTGTTATCATTCTTTCTTTTTCTATTCTTAGCTGGCCTTCTGATGAAATCCTTTCTTCTATTATTTTAGTATAGTTTTAATGTAATATATATCATACAATAATAAATCAAGCCTTCTGAAACATGGAGTCAGATCCTTGTCACAAAATAGCAAGAAGCCCCTCTCTTCCACCTTTCAGACCCCAGCTTATCTCCCCGTAGATCACTTTCCCTTAACCCCTGCTATTGGACAATTCTGGATCCCCCTATACCCTATATAAAGGGCTGGTTTAGCTCATTCTGGTCAGAAGAGCTGCCCCTGGAACCCTTCACAGACCCCCCAATAAAGCCATCACTGCGGAACTCCGGCTGCCTTCTCCTCTCTCATGTCTCCTTCTCGGCCTGCATCGACACCTTAGCAAGCAAAGGGCTGAAATCATGAGAGAGCTGATAAATCCCTAAAGAGCTGATATCCCTTAAGCTTGCTAAGGTTGCCTGTGGCTAAGAGCAGCCTGGGTACTCAGACACTCTGTCCCCAAAAGAGGACTGAATTATCCAGTGCTGCCTGCTTGGGGGTGAACCAGCCCAGCAGGAAATCAGGATATCACCCAGCCAGGTGACAAAACTGCAAAAATCAGGGTTTTTAACACAGCCAGAGCGTGTTTGGAACTGATTTCTGACGGTGTTGTGGCAGAATTTTTAAGGTTGGGAAAGGACCATGGAGATCCATTTCCCATCACAGGAAACTCTCTTGTAGAGGGAGGTATTTTTTTCTTGTCTATCCAGAAAATGGCAACATTGGGAAGGCAAAATTATACTGGGGGGAGCAAAGATGAAACTTGTGTAGCAATTTGGGGGGGAAATTGGAACCTTTGAAAGAGGATGTCTGGAGGACTGGGAGAGGAGCAGGCAGCTCTGTGGAAGCCCAGGTTAAACTGACGGACTGGGCAGCTCAGCAGCCCTCAGAGGGGGACATGGGGACACTTGGGCAGTGCTGGCCTCTGAGAGGACCCAGCCCTGGAGCCTCTCCTGAGGCACAGGAGCTCCTCCCCAGCCCTGCAGAGGACGTTGTGACACGCTGAGGAACAAAAGCAGCAGGATTTCCCAGCTCTGAGGGGAGGCTGAGGGCTCCCAGAGCCCCCACTCCACACCCTGGGTATGGAGGTGCTGTGCCCCTGGCACAGGGGAGGAACACATGGCCAAAATCCTGATTTAATTGCCCCTAACCAGCAGCTCTGGGAGGTGAGGGGTGAGCAGGGTGGGTTTGGGGTGATCCTGGTGGATCGGGAAGGTAAAACAAGGAGCTGAGAGGTTAGGAATGGGTTAAAGGCTGGGATTTAAGGAATGGGTTAAAGGCTGTGATTTACTCTCTGCTCAACACCAGAGTTCCTGGAGCTTTGGGAGGGAAAATAATTGATGTTGGCAGCAACAGATCCTGCCGGGATCCCAGCCTGGCCTGGCCTCTGAGCCACGACTGCTCCATCCCTGCGGCAAAATTCCCTCTGTCCCTCCCGTCCCTTTCCCTGCACAGCCCTTACAAGGACCAGAAGGGGGAGAAGCAGCACAGCCCAAGCCTGGCAGATCCCCTGGGGACAGATCTTTAGCACACACAATCCACTGTCACTTCCATTCCCTTTGTCCCTCCTGTCCCTTTCCCTTACAAGGGCCACAGGGAGGAGCAGCCCAGCCCAAGCCTGGCAGATCCCTGGGTTCCCTGGGGACAGATCCTTGGGACAATCCGTGGTCACCTCCAGCCCAAGTGAGGCTTCCCCTGCCTCCTCTCCAGCCCCATCTTCCCCTCCCAGCGGCGCTGGGCACAAATTCCTTGTGCAAGAGCAGCCAGGTGTGGTGGCAGCTCCTGAGAGAAAGAGAAAGAAAGAGAAAGAAAGAGAAAGAGAGAGAAAGGGAGAGAAAGGGAGAGAAAGTGGACTAGAAAGAGAAAGAAAGAAGCTAAATAAGTTTTCCCAGAATCAGCCTGGGAAGCTTTGAGGAGCTGTAGATAAACAGTGATACCCAATAATTAAAAACAACCTCCAGGTGTTGTTTCTCTAGTATCTGTTTTCTTGTTATTCTCACAAGATTGTTCATAAATAGGTGTATAACTACTTATATGTTATAAACATAAGATTGTTTATAAATGGGTGTATAGCCGTTTATATTTTATATTATAAACCATTTATAGCAATCATAAGATTGTCATAAATGGTTTATAAATTGTTAATTAGCCAATGGTGATGGTGTTTTAATCAAAGGACCAATCAGGTCCACTTGTAGCAAACTAGGGTATAAAAAGCAATGGGTGGCTCAATAAATTGAATTAGGTTTCTGTGAATGCCTTGGGAGTCCAGGTCACTAAATTGAATTAACTTTCTGTGAATGCCTTGGGAGTCCAGGTCACTAAATTGAATTAACTTTCTGTGAATGCCTTGGGAGTCCAGGTCACTTTTTCCCCAGGCCTGACTCGCACACTGACAGCACAGGGGTGCTGCTCTGCATTCCCAGCCCTGCTGCGAATTCCCCCAAGGAATGTTCCCCCAGGATTAGGGCTGGGGCAGCGCCTGGCACCTCCCCTGTGCCAGGGAACATCTTCCCAGGGCGACAGAGCTGGGAAAAAGGGCAGCAGGCCCACACTCGCTGGGATTTCTGCCTGAAAGGAACTTATTTTAAGCACTTTAAGGTCACGCTGACATTTTTCCACAGGAGCAGAGAGGAGAACAACCTGCAGGTGGAGGAGGGGAAGGAAGAGGGAAATGAGAGTTCCCATTGAAAATCCTTTCCCAACTCTCAGCCCTGGGGAGGTCGGGTGAGGTCAGAGCTGCACAAAGGGATCAGGCTCAGGCTCGCTCTGAGCAGGGCTGGGAGGGTCTGGAGATGAGCAAAGCTGAGCCAGCCACAAGCCTGGCTTAAACCAGGGCCAGACACATCCAGCCCCGTGGTTTCCACGCTGGGACACCTTCCAGAGCTGGGCTGTGAGCAGAGATTCCCCTCCCCTGCTGCTCCTGCCCCAGCTGGGATGGCAGCAGGATGCAATGACCTTTAAGGACTTCCCCTGGGGCCGGGCCAAGTGGCACATTCTGATCCCGCGCTGGGAAAGCAGGATGCTCCCGAGCCCTCAGCCTCACCTCGGAGCTGGGAAATCCTGCTGCTTTTGTTCCTCAGCGTGTCACAATGTCCTCTGCTGGGCTGGGGAGGAGCCCCTGGGTCTCGGGAGAGGCTCCAGGGCTGGGTCCTCTCAGAGGCCAGCACTGCCCAAGTGTCCCCATGTCCCCTTCCAAAGGAGGACATGGAAAGAAAAGACTTTTTCTTTCTGCTGAGCTGCCCAGTCCATCAGTTTAACCTGGGCCTCCACAGAGCTGCCTGCTCCTCTCCCAGTCCTCCAAAATCTTATTTTGAAGGTTCCAATTTCCCCCCCAAATTTGCTGCACAAGTTTCATCTTTACTCCCCCCAGTATAATTTTGCCTTCCCAATGCTGCCATTTTCTGGATAGACAAGAAAAAAAATCTCCATCTACAGGAGAGTTTTCTGTGATGGGAAATGGATCTCCATGATCCTTGTGGGTCCCTCCCAGCTCTGGATATTCTGGGATTCTCTGAATAAATTTATGCTGCTTGATGCAACATAAAATGCATTCATCACCTGCACACCTGTCCTGGGACAGGTCTGGAGGTTTGGGATGCTCCTGGACCCAGCCAAGGCCACCCCAGAGGAGCTGAGGACAGGACCCAGTGCTCTGTTTGCACTCCAGTTCTCCATCTTTACTCCAACATCTCCAAAAGGTCCCTTTTATCCCAATCACAAGACTCAGCACTGATTGTTCCAGCATTGGGAGCAAGAAATCCCTGCCCTGCAGCAACCCTGAGGCTCCCTGTGTCCCTTGTCCTTGGAGGATGGGGACAGGGCAGGGCTGCTCAGGGGAGGGTGCCAGGTGTGACATTGCCATCCCTGCAGGGACAGGGGACAGGGGACAGGGCAGGGCTGCTCAGGGGAGGGTGCCAGGTGTGACATTGCCATCCCTGCAGGGACAGGGACAGGGCAGTTCTGCTCAGGGGAAGGTGCCAGGCATCAGTGTGACACTGCAGGGACAGGGGACAGGGCAGTTCCACTCAGGGGAGGGTGCCAGGTGTGACATTGCCGTCCCTGCAGGGACAGGGACAGGGCAGTTCTGCTCAGGGGAAGGTGCCAGGCATCAGTGTGACACTGCAGGGACAGGGGACAGGGCAGTTCTACTCAGGGGAGGGTGCCAGGTGTGACATTGCTGTCCCTGCAGGGACAGTGACAGGGCAGGGCTGCTCAGGGGAGGGTGCCAGGTGTGACATTGCCATCCCTGCAGGGACAGGGGACAGGGGACAGGGCAATCCTGCTCAGGGGAAGGTGCCAGGTGTGACATTGCCATCCCTGCAGGGACAGGGGACAGGGGACAGGGCAATCCTGCTCAGGGGAAGGTGCCAGGTGTGACATTGCCATCCCTGCAGGGACAGGGGACAGGGCAGTTCTGCTCAGGGGAGGGTACCAGGTAGCAGTGTGACACTACAGGGGACAGGGCAGTGCTGCTCAGGGGAAGGTGCCAGGTGTGACATTGCTGTCCCTGCAGGGACAGGGACAGGGCAGCCCTGCTCAGGGGAAGGTGCCAGGTAGCAGTGTGACATTCCCACAGGGACAGGGGACAGCCCCAAGGCAGAGCAGTGAGAGCCCCAGGCTGTGCCCAGGTTTGACAGTGCCAGTGCCCCCATGAAAATCCGTTCTCCCTGGTGTCTGCTGTGAGGTGTGACCAGACACGGAGCAAAGCAGGAGCTCTGACCTCCTCAGCCCACCAGAACCAAGAGAAAGTTCCCCTGGGAGTTCTCTGCTTTTAACCCCTCTGTTCTCAGAGGTGAATCCATGGCCTCAAATATTCCAATTTCAGCACTGATTGGTTTGACCACAAACTCCAAAAAAAACCTCACTTCCTTTTCAAACCAGGACACCAGAGACGAGGAACACGGGGTTGGCACAGGGGGTTGTACAGGACCAGGGGTGCTGGCTCCCTGTGGTGTTACATTTTAGTTAAATGCTGTGCTCTGTCTCACCCCTCGATATTCCAAGCCCGTGATCCTCCCCTGGAATATCATGGATCTGAAATCCCCTTGGCCCAAGGTTTATTCTGCACCTACTTTGAATCTCCCTGTTAAACTATGGGGGGAGACCATAAATTCTCTCTTGGTCCTTATTTCTCTTAATCTTTTCTTTCTAACAAAAAAAGGATGAATTGTGTTACACGTTAGTTAAATGGTTTGCTCTGTCTCACCCCTTGTTATTCCAAGCCTGTGATCCTCCCCTGAAGGATCATGGATCTGAAATCCCACTGGCCCAAGATTTATTCTGCACCCAGTTTGAATCTCCCTGTTAAGCTGTGGGGGGAGACCACAGATGCTCTTTTGGCACTTATTTGTCTTCATTTTTTCTTTCTAACAAAAAAAGGGTGAACTGTGGCATCCCATTTCAGTTAAATGGTTTGCTCTGTCTCACCCCTCGTTATTCCAAGCCCGTGATCCTCCCCTGAAGGATCATGGATCTGAAATCCCACTGGCCCAAGATTTATTCTGCACCCAGTTTGAATCTCCCTGTTAAGCTGTGAGGGGGAAATCACAGATTCTCTTTTGGCACTTATTTCTCTTAATCTTTTCTTCCTAACAAAAAAAGGGTGAACTGTGGCGTCACATTTCAGTTAAATGGTGTGCTCTGTCTCACCCCTTGAATATGTACGGTTTAATCCAAGACTGATCCTCCCCTGGAATATCATGGATCTGAAATCCCATTGGCCCAAGGTTTATTTGCATCCACTTTGAATCTCCCTGTTAAGCTATGGGGGGAGACCAGAGATTCTCTCTTGGTCCTTATTTCTCTTAATCTTTTCTTCCTAACAAAAAAAGGGTGAACTGTGGCGTCACATTTCAGTTAAATGGTGTGCTCTGTCTCACTCCTTGTTATTCCAAGCCTGTGATCCTCCCCTGAAGGATCACGGATCTGAAATCCCACTGGCCCAAGATTTATTCTGCGCCCAATTTGAATCTCCCTGTTAAGCTGTGCCAGGGAGATCAGAACCTTTCTTGGCTCTTTGCTCTCTTGGTCCTTTTCTCCCTGGCCTCTCCCTCTGTTTCTCCCTCACTTCTCCCTCAGAAACCATGCTGCTCCAGGGGGTGGGACCCCCAATAATTAGCACCCTCATTAATTAGCACCCACAGAAGCCGTGTGGAGTCTCCTTGCCTGCCTGCTGCTACCAGTGAACATCCAGCTCAGGGGACTCCCAGGGACCACAAATGAGCAGCAACAGCTCCTTTCATTTTTCTTGGGTTTTGCAGCAGTGTGGTGACCTGGAGGACAAGGATCCTGGAGGACAAGGATTCCTTTCCCAGTGCCATATGAGCCCCAGGGAGGGGATGGCTGTGAACACCTTTAAGCTGGGATTTACCAAACTCTCTGCATGGTCCCAGGTGCCACCAGAATGGGAATGAGCTCAAACCACCCCACAGACCCCAAAATCAGGAGAGGGACGTGTTCCACCATGGAAAGAGGCCGTGGCTGGAGCTGGGTATGAGATCCCATAATCAGGAGGAGGGAATGATGGCAAAGGATGGGGAAGGCCAGGCTGGACAGGGCTTGGAGCAATCAGGGACAGGGGAAAGTGTCCCTGTGCTTGGAGGGGTGGGATGAGATGGGGTTTAAGGTCCCTTCCCACCCAAACCATTCCATTGAGCAGCTCAATGTGCCACACATGCCAAATTAATCAACCTCTTTGGGATCACTGACCATTACAATGCACCCAAAACCTCCAGACTTTGGAGTAAGGGATGTCTAGATAATCTTATGATTCTTCTCTGGAAATGCTTTTAAATGTATTTCCCCAAAGGAGAAATAAATATATTTCCCAAAAGGAGAAATAAATGTGTTTGCCCAGAAAGGGAAATATGTGTATTTCCCAAAATGTAAAACAAGCAAAAAGGGAAATAAATATGTTTTCAAAAAGGGAAATAAATGTATTTGCCCAGAAAGGGAAAGATGTGTATTTCCCAAAATGAAAATCAAGCGTGTTTTCCCAAAACGGAAAAGAAAGGAATTTTCTCAAAAAGTGAAATAAATATATTTTCTCAGAATGGGAAATAAAGGTATTTGCCCAAAAAGGGACAGACATGTATTTTCCAAATTGAAAAACAAGTGTGTTTTCCCAAAAAGAAAAATAAATTAATTTCCCCCAAAAGGGAAATAAATGTGTTTCCCAAAAAGGAAAATAAAGGAATTTTCCCATAAAGGGGAAATAAATGTATTTTCCCCAAAATGGAAATAAATGTATTTTCCCAGAATGGGAAATAAATATTTTTTTCCAGAAGGGGAAATGCGTGTATTTCCCAAAAGGAACAACAACTGTATTTTCCCAAAAAGGCAAATAAAGGCATTTTCCCAAAAGGGGAAATAAATGTATTTCCCAAAATGAACGACAAGTGCATTTTCCCATAAAGGAAAATAAATTAATTTGCCCAGAAAGGGAAGTAAATGTATTTGCCCAGAAAGGGACAGACATGTATTTCCCAAAATGAACAACAAGTGTATTTTTCCAAAAAGGGAAATAAATGCATTTCCCAAAAAGGGAAATAAAGGAATTTTCCTGAAAGGGGAAATAAAGGAATTTTCCCAAAAGGGGAAATAAATGTATTTTCCCTGAAAGGGAAATACGTGCATTTCCCACGATGAGCAACAAATGTGTTTTTCCACAAAGGAAAACAAGGAATTTTCCCAAAAGGGGAAATAAATGCATTTCCCAGAATGGATAACAAATGTGTTTTCCAAAAAAAGGAAAACAAATGTGTTTTCCCCAAAGGGAAATGTATTTTCCCCAAAAGGGAAATGTATTTTCCCCAAAGGGGGAAATAAATGTATTTGCCAGAATGAACAACAAATGTGTTTTCCCAAAGAGGAAAAGAAATGTATTTTCCCCAAAAGGGAAATGTATTTTCCCCAAAAGGGAAATGTATTTTCCGCAAAAGGGTAAATACATTTATTTCCCAAAACCATCATGGAGAACACTGCTGAGGCTGAGCAGGGCGTGCAGAGGCAGGGAGCTTTCCTGGGTGGGATGTCCCAGGCCCTGCACAGGTTTATCCCCCATCCCCCGTGGTTCCTGCCCCTCAGTTCCCCTCCGTACCCCAGGAATTCCCGTTCCGTACCGGTTGGAGAAGTGGTCTGGGAGCTGCACCACCTCGGTGATGGCCTCGGGGTTGCGGCGGGCGATGCCGCACAGGTCCAGCTTGCTGTAGCACTCCTCCTGCACCTCCGAGATCATCCTCTGGAACGTGGAGCACCGGCGGATGGCCAGGAACACCTTGGAGGTCACCCCGTTGGCGATGCACTTGAGGCTCTCCTTCACGAACGCTTTTCCCTGCACACGGGAAGGAAAACCAACTTCAGCTGAATTCCAGGGAATCTGGGATAAATTCCAGGGATAAAAACGAGAGCAGGGTCCCGGTGCTAAAGTGATTTCAGCTTTTATTATGAAAAAAGAAAGGCCTAAAGCAAGGGGGCCTGTGGGAATGGGGATGGGACTGGGAATGGGAATGGGGATGGGAATGAGAAGGGGAATGGGAATGGGGGTGGGGATAGGGATGGGAATGGGATGAGAAGGGGAATGGGAATGGGGATGGGAATGGGGAATAGGAGTGGGAATGGGAATGGGGTTGGAGTTGGGAATGGGGATGGGAATGAGAAGGGGAATGGGGATAGGGATGGGAATGGGAATGGAGATGGGAATTGGATGAGAAGGGGAATGGGAATGGGGATGGGAATGGGGAATAGGAGTGGGAATGGGAATGGGGTTGGAGTTGGGAATGGGGATGGGAATGAGAAGGGGAATGGGGATAGGGATGGGAATGGAGATGGGAATTGGATTAGAAGGGGAATGGGAATGGGGATGGGAATGAGAAGGGGAATGGGAATGGGGTTGGGAAAGGGAATGGGAATTGGATGAGAAGAGGAATGGGAATGGGGTTGGGAATGGGGCAGGGGATGAGAATTGGGCATGGAATGGGGCTGGGAATGGGAATGAGAAGGGGAATGGGACAGGAGATGGGGCAGGAAATGGGGCAGGAGCGTTCCTGCCGAGGATGCTGCAGCGCCAGCTCTGGGGCTCCTTGAGCAGCCCCAGGTGGAGCAGCACAATTCAGTGGGTCAGGAGCCCCTTTTTATCCTGTTTCTTGTCCCTTTGGATTGGTTTCTGTTTGGATCCTTCATTTGCATGAAGGTTTTAGGCCTTGATTGACCATTACAGCTCGGTCCAGGCTGGCTCCGGTGCATTTACTGAGGTGTGTTATGGTACCTTGAGTACCGGATTTCCTACAACTGCCCTTTGAACCCCTTTTACAATAGAACAACCAAACTAACTGTACATGCTTAATGATGTATCAACTATTTTGCAGCAGTTTCTAAATTATTTTTAACAGAATCCAAAGGAAGGAGAAGTGTTGTGGATACTCCACCCGGCCTGGCTGTGCTAATTACCCTCCTGCAATTAAGGCAGGGAATGGGATTTGAATGTTCCCGACTACTGCAGAGTTGTCACTCAGCAGTCGGGATGCTCTGAACTCCCATTGCCAAAGGATTTAGGCAGTGGGAATCTTCAGCCTGGGAGCGCCAGGACCAGAGGTGGAGCAGCTCTGCCCCACAGATCAACATCAATTTAATGCCAGCAGTTTAACACTCCTGGTTCAGACCTCAAGAGCCTTTACGAGCTTTTAAATCTGTCCTTGGGAGCAGGAGCAGAGGGAAGAAGTGTGGATTTTGGGAGGAAAGCACAGAGGGAACAGGATTTTGGCAGAGCAGAGCCCTCCAATATTATCCCGTTTATTCTCCCTGCAATCCCAGTCTGGCCGTGCATTCCCAGACCCGAACGCTTCCAAGCCAAAGCCCAGCCCTGTGCCAGGTCACACAGCCAGGAGATTTATTTTGTTAGAAGAACATTTCTATTTCCTCCCGGAGAGGAAACCTCGCTCTCCACCCCTCGGAACCCTCCGTGCCAAGTCCTCACCCGGAGCAGCGAGCGGGTGGAAAAAGAGCCCTGGAGCCAGAAATGGGGCTGAGAGCAGCAGCAGGAAGGGCTGCAGGGAGGGGAGGGTTAATCCTGCCCAAAGCACAGCTTAAATTAAGGCAGGCACTGAGCAGAGCGCCTCGCACGTGCTTCAGAACCCGCAGGACTTGTCCGGGCCATGAAAAGGCGGCTCCCATTTATTGTCGGCCGTGTTTGATTCTCGGCCGGGTTTGATTCTTGGCTGGGTTTGATTCTCGGTGTGGTTTGATTCATTCCCGGCTGGGTTGGATTCCCGTGGTGCCCGGGCCGTACCTGAGTGTCGAATTTAGCAGCGCTGTAGAGGAAGGATTTGCAGATGTCGTACATCCCGTCCGTGTCGCACGTGGAGTTCTCCAGGCAGGCGAAGGCTCCGCAGCCCACCTGGAGGGCACTGTTCAGGCACCGAACCACCTCGGCTGCGACAGAGGGGCACAGGAACATCAGCACATGGACAGCGAGCCCAGCCCCAAAAATCCTGCCCAGCCCCAAAAATCCTGCTCAGTCCTGGCCAAATCCGGCCCAGACCCAAAAATCCTGCCCAGACCCAAAAATCCTGCTCAGCCCCAAAAATCCTGCTCAGCCCCCAAAATCCTGCCCAGACCCCAAAAATCCTGCCCAGACCCCAAAAATCCTGCCCAGTCCCTGGCCAAATCCTGCCCAGTCCCAAAAATCCTGCCCAGACCCCAGAAATCCTGCCCAGACCCCAGAAATCCTGCCTAGACCCAAAAATCCTGCCCAGCTCCAAAAATCCTGCCCAGCCCCAAAAATTCTGCTCAGCTCCAAAAATCCTGCCCAGCCCCCAAAAATCGTGCTCAGCCCCAAAAATGCTGCCCAGTCCCTGCCAAATCCTGATCCAGCACCGTGACCAGGGTCAGAGCCTCTCCGAGACCCCAAAATCTGCCTGTGAGAAGAGATGGAGCAGCTGGAGAAGAACAGGCTCCTCCTGGAGAAGAGAAGGCTCCAGGGAGAGCTCAGAGCCCCTCCTGGTGCAGAAAAGCAGATTATAAAAAAGAAAGAGAGCGAGTTTTTATATGCACGGTGCTAGAACGGCTGGGATTGGTTTTAAGCTAAAAGAGGAGAGATTTAGGTCAGATGTTAGGGAGAAAATCCATCCTTGGAGGGCAGCGAGGCCCTGGGACAGGGTGCCCAGAGAGGTTGAGGATTCCTCATCCCTGGAAGAGTCCCCGGCCAGGCTGGAGCACCCTGGGATGGTGGAATGTGTCCCTGCCCATGGCTGGGGATGGAATGAGCTCTAAGGTCCCTTTCCAACCCAAACCATTCCAAGATTCCATAATTCTATATTCCAGAATTCTACAATCCCACGATTCTGTAATTCCATGATTCTACAATTCCGTGATTCCGTAATTCCATGATTCTACAATCCCATGATTCTATAATTCCATGACTCTACACTTCCATGATTCTATAATTCCATAATTCCACAATTCCATGATTCTCCCATACCAGGATTCTACAATTCCAGGATTCTACAATTCCATGATTCTCCAATACCATGATTCTACAATTCCAGGATTCCACAATTCCAGGATTCCACAATTCCAAAATTCTACACTTCCATGATTCTGTAATTCCATGATTCTACCATTCCAGAATTCTACAATTCCAGAATTCTCTGAGGACACGACCAGTGCCCCAAAGAACAGAAATTCCAGCTACCAAAGCCCTCGAGGGTCACATACGGATTGGAAGAGGCAGCACCTCACAAAGGAGTGAGATGGGGACCCAAATCTCCATCCCAACCTCATTCTCTCTTCAGGCATTCACATCTTTATCCCAATTCCCTCTAAAGCAGGAGCAGGGATGAGGATGGGCCCATGGAAAGCTCTGAGTGCTGAGGGCTCTCCTTGGGGAGCAGCCTTGGCTCACAAAATCACTGGAAAATGAGGTGGAAGCGTTGGCAAATGCCAACAAGTTGGCAGGAAACTGCACTGATCGGGAGGCATTTGTGCTTTTCTAAAATGCTGAATTACCTAGAAAGAAGATTTGAGCTTGAGACTCAATTCTCAGCACCCAGAAGGACTCGATCCTGCAGCTTGGAGCCAAACTGCCCCGGGAGCTCGCAGGTACAGCCAAAAAGGGGAATTTTTGCTGAGATTCGGGAGGGGAAGGGGAATTCGGGCCGGGAAAGTTCAGGTAACGCCGCTCCGAGGATGGTTAAAGCCCGAGGCAGCGGCGCGGCTGAGCACGAGGGTGTCCGTGTCACCCCGGCTCCCTCAGAGCACATCCAGAGCATTTTAACCGTGAATCAGCAGAACTGCCACATGATTGCCCCGAAATTAGCCGGGATTAACCTTTCTGGGCGAGCCGAGCATCTGTCCCCTCCCAGCGAGCGGGCTAGGCACGTTCGCTGCTCTGCGGCTCAGGTTACCAGACATTCCCGGGGGAGAAACGCCAGGCCAGGGTCCCCTGGTGCGGGAAAAGGGAGCCTTAACTGCGGCAGAACGCACCTCATTACACCGAACTTGCATCCTAAAGAGAATTCTTTACAACGGGGATTTTCCCCGAAAAAAAAAAAAAAAAAGAAGGAATAATATTGAAAAAAAATCCCCCCGATTAACCCCTGCTCGTTCCGCGCTGCTGCTGACGCGCCTGAAGGGAGGAATATTCGGTAATTCATCCCCTCCCCGGTTCACAACCTCCCGCAGCACGAGCCAGCCCCGTAATTAGCTTTCCACAGGTTCCAATTAGAACTTCGCTCGCAGCGCAGTCCGGGCGCGCTCTGATTGTCTCGGGCGCGGTGCGAGGGGAGACCCCACGTTCCTATAGCAACCAAATACAAAAGCAAATGGAGCAAACACCCCGCTCCAGCGCCGCAGAGCCTCGCCGAGCTAAAATAAGGCAGCTGCTAATGAGCCCCGAACCGGAGCGTTAATATCTTTGCAGCACAGTAGAGGCGGATTTTTAATCCCCATTGTTCCAACAACGCCTCCAAGTTATCTAAGCGGCAAAGTCCGCACATCCAAAGCAATTTTTATTTTTTTTTTCTCTCTCCATTGTGGAAGCAAGTTTGGGAAATGTCCCCGATGTATTTTTACAGCGGCAGCTGCCCGATAGCCATCGGTTTGTGACACTTTCTGGGTTCTGCATTCCTCCGAGGCTGCCCCTCTTTGAACACAGAGATGCTCCAGAACAATGGGGCAGTCCCAGCGCCGCGGATCCCACCAAGTTCCTAAAAAGCAAAGGTTTAAAAACCCCAGAGCAGCGCTGCACCGGGGGAAGGAGAGGGATGCATGCAAGCAGGAGAATAAAAATGATAAAAAGTGCGCGGAACTCCCCGGGGAGCTGCGGGAGGAGGGGAGAGCCCGGATCGCATCCTCGCTGCTCCGGGAGATTCCCGCACCAGCCCTGGAAGGAACATTCGTGCTGCCAGCCGGTGAGTTCATAAGGGGAAGGAAAAGGGGGGGGAAATGAAAAAGAAGAAAAACCAGCAGCAGAGAAATGTGAGGCAGCTGAGGGCAGCGGGGCTGCGGCGTTACCTGAGTTCTGCGCCGCCACCCGCGCCTTCCTGGGGCTCACAGAGTCATTCTGCTCGGCTTCGTGGGATGCGGATGCACTGATCAGCAGCAGCAGCAGAAAACCAGACTTTAGGAGCATTCTTTGACAAGTTTCCGCTAAGTGTGGGGTTGGCTCGGTTTAGTTTTTTTCCCTTTTTTTTTTTTCTTTTTCTTTTTTTGAGTGGTTGATTTTTTTTTTTTTTTTTTTTTGGATGTGTGCGCCTCTCCTCTTGCACTCGGGCTTGAGCGAAGATGTGGAGCTGGATGCGAGGGAGGGAAGGAAGGAGGGAGGATCCTGGCGAGGCCGGGGATGAGCGCAGGGATGTGCGGAGGATCCGGGTGGCCCCTCTGGCTGCGGCTCGCTGGGGGACCGCGAGCTGCGAGCGTTTTATAGCCGCCCTTATCGGTCCCCCCCGGGCTGCCGAGCCAATCGGTGGCGCTGGGCAGAGCCAGGGGAGGACTGGACTCATTCAAGCCCCGCAAAAAACTGCAACTTCACAGGAAGAGTATTTTCCAGCCCATTGAAAGTACCTGCCAAAGAACAATGAGCGAAAAGTTCATCCTCGGAGGAGCGCTGGGAAAGGGAGGGGATGGGGGGGGGGGGCGCTTCCTATGGATGGCGGAGCTCGAGGAAATGACAGCGCCGCCCTAAAGCGCCCCCACCCCAGCAGAAAATCACCTGCCCTGGAGGGAAAGCTGCTCCCACCCGTGCGAGGGGATCCCGGCGCTGGGGAGGGGAAGGGGCGGCTCTGAGGGGCTCGGGAATGGGGATGGGAATGGGGCTGGCGGGGATTCTGCCCCGGCTCTGGGGATGGGGCTGGCAGGGATCCCCGATCCTGTCCCCGCTCTGGGGCTGGCAGGGATCTCTCTCTCCTGCCCCGGCTCTGGGGATGGGGCTGTTCAGGGATCCCCGATCCTGTCCTGGCTCTGGGGCTGGCGGGGATCCCCCGCTCCTGCCCCGGCTCTGGGGATGGGAATGGGGCTGGCAGGGATTCCTCTCTCCTGCCCGGCTCTGGGGATGGGGATGGCAGCGATCCCTCGCTCCTGTCCCCGCTCTGAGGCTGGCAGGGATCTCTCACTCCTGCCCCAGCTCTGGGGATGGGGCTGGTGGGGATCCCCGCTCCTGCCCCGGCTCTGGGGCTGGCAGGGATCTCTCACTCCTGCCCCGGCTCTGGGGATGGGAATGGGGCTGTCAGGGATCCCCCGTTCCTGCCCCAGTTCTGGGGACGGGGATGGGAATGGCGGGGATCCCTCTCTCCTGTCCGGCTCTGGGCATGGGGCTGTCAGGGATCTCTCGCTCCTGCCCCGGCCCTGGGGATGGGAATGGGGCTGGCGGGGATCCCCGCTCCTGTCCCGGCTTTGGGTCTGTCGGGGATCCCCCTTTCCTGCCCCGACTCTGGGGATGGGGCTGTCAGGGATTTCTCGGTCCTGTCCCCTCTCTGGGGCTGTTCAGGGATCCCCGTTCCTGCCCCGGCTCTGGGGCTGTTCAGGGATCCCCGCTCCTGCCCCGGCTCTGGGGCTGTTCAGGGATCCCCGCTCCTGCCCCGGCTCTGGGGCTGTTCAGGGATCCCCGCTCCTGCCCCGGCTCTGGGGCTGTTCAGGGATCCCCGCTCCTGCCCCGGCTCTGGGGCTGTTCAGGGATCCCCGCTCCTGCCCCGGCTCTCACCTCTCCCTGCCGCTGCCTCCCTCCCGCCCCAGCACGTGCGAGCCGCGGCGCTCAGCCCTGCGCTCACGTAGGCACATGCAAATCCATCGAATAAATCAAATCAATCCCTGCCTGCCCCGAACCTCGCCCAGCCCTCCCGCTCTCCCCTCACCTGCGCCGTTCCCCCCACAAAATCACCCAGCCCACCCTTTGCCCGCGCCCTAAACCCCAATTTTCAGGTGTTTCGTGGTTTTCCTCGCCCTCCCCTCTCCCTGCTCCAAACTCAATCCTGTTTTTCAGATTTCATAACGGGAGGAGGCAGCCTAATGCCTGATTCAATCTCGGCTCTAATGGGCACGTAATGAGGATTAGCACGCTGCAGGATTGATTCTCCCCCATCCCAGAGGCGATTTAAAGCTCCGGGTGTTTCAGGGATGAAAGTGCAGCTCCTCAGAGCTGCGGGGAAATCGGGAAAGGTGAGTGCAGAAAGATTTCCAGATAAAAAGTTACAAGTTCCTGCAGCTTAGAATGAACCCAAGGGTTCAGAGACCAGCTCCGGCTGATCTGAGCTGAGATTGTTTGGATCAGAGCACGTTTGGGGCTCCCTCTGCCACCCCCTTTGCTGGGGAGGGGGAGGACTCTCAGCTCTGTGGTGCCGGGCAAGGAAATCCAGCTTGGATAATCCATGGATCCATCCAGGGGCAGAATTCCCATCTGACGAACCGGTTCCACAAATCCCATTCAAAGGAGGTGCAAAACTCCCCACTTTGGGGCATTCAGTCCAGTTTATGGCAAAATAAGAATTTAAACAGAAGCAGGAGGAGGCTCTATCCATGGGGGTCTGGAAGCTGTGCCTGGTGCTTTACCCCATCCCTGCCTTTTTATCTTTAGGACAATGGGATCCCTCTGCATCTGCCCATCCCTGTGCCCCCTCTCTCCAGGAAGGCGCTGCCCCATTCCCGGCGCTGTCGGCTCCCTTTGGAACGGGGCTGTGCTGCTGCTGCCCGGGGCTCACAGGAACAGCTGTGCCAGATGTTCCGAGCGCTCGCCAAAAGCCCTGAAACAGGAGGGTTTCGGGTTTCGGCTCCGGTTTGGGACACCGAGCCAAGTTCATTAAATAAAGAAGAAAAAAAAATCAAGAAAAAGAAGCAGCAGCCCCACAAAGCGTTGTGGTTTCTCCACTTCAGAGTCCCGGTCCAGTTTGGAAGCGAGAAAAATCCCAGAGGGTTTGATCCTGATTAAATCAAAAGTAACTCTGGCAGCCACTTCAATGGGGGCTGACTCACGGCTCCAGAGCCCTCCTCTCCTCTCCTCTCCTCTCCTCTCCTCTCCTCTCCTCTCCTCTCCTCTCCTCTCCTCTCCTCTCCTCCACCCCAATTTGAACATTCCCACTTGGCTTTTTTGGATTTTTTTGGGTTTTTTTTGGCTTTTTGAGGCTGCAGACCCGGCCAGGTTGGCCTGGCCCTCCCCAGGATCCCATCCACAGCCAGGGGAGCCCAAGTGTGGGGAGGAATTGAGCCAAGGGGGCCCTGAGATTATTCCAGCACATTTTCTGTTCTTTCTCCAACATTTTCCCGGGGATTTGCTCCTTTAGGGCCATGTTTGATATTTGTACCTGCTGCCTGTTTTAATTATGAGCAGTAGGAACAGGAGGTGAGTGAGGCTCAGTTTGGTTCATGAGCACGGTGACCTCATGTGCTGGTTCAGGACACAAATATTAAAACACCAGGGGAACTCTGAGAAGACTCCAAAAAGGCCCCACGGAGGCAGAACTTTGATTATTTTTCTCTAAAAGAGTGGGAGGATGATTTCAGGAGTGAGGGACCTGCTCTGAGCCGCTGTCAGATTTGGCAAATTTCTGCCCAAGACCTCAGAGTCCTGTGCTACCAGAGCACATTTTCATTTTTCTTTTGCACATTGAAAGCAGCAAGGGCTCAAAATTCCCTGGAAACTTCCACTCTGCCCTGGCTGTGGGATTTCCAGGGGTTTGGTGGCAGAGGAGCTTGGCTTCAATCCTGTCCCAGGTTCTGAAGGGAAAAAGGAACAGCCAGAGATGGAACCACTGCCCCAAATCAGCGCTTGGCTCATTCAAGGGCCCTTCAAAAGTGTTGTTAGAAGGTTTAGGGATACAAGAACACCCATTATGGGATAAGGTTTTCCCTGAAAACCTTCCTTCCTCCCTGTCTCAGGTGACAGCTGCTTTGCAGCCGGGGGAGCTCATTAAAAAAAAAAAAAAAAAACACAACAAAAAAACCCAAAAACCAGAAGAAAAAGTTTCCCTATTTGTTCCTAAGAGCTTGGCACAACCTGCTGGAAGATTTTCCCCGCGGCTGCTTCCCTCGGAGGTGAAACGCTGGAGGGTTTCTGTTCCTGCCTGGTGCGCGGAGAGAGAAAAAAGAGCGGCACTGTTAGCCCTGGGAGAATCCCCCCCTTCTTTCCATTCCCATTCACGGCCGCGATTAAATTGCACAGCCCGGCCTTTTGTGCCTCTGTTCCTCTATTCCCAAGGTGTTAAGATTTTTATCCAACCTCCCTCAAAAAAAAAAAAAAAAAAAAAAAAAAAATCGAGGGGGACGAGAAAAGAAAAGAAGAAAAAGAGAAAGGGGACATAAAGTGAGTGACCCTCCCTCCCCTCCCGGGTTTCTGCTCAGCTGCTCCCGGCTGGGAACGGCTGCGAGGGCGGCCCCGCTTCCCTCCCATTGTGTAACTGGATCCTCCCCACCTTTATCCCCCCGTGCCCGGCCGGGACCCTCCGCTCCGGAGGGACGTGAGCAACTGCACCGCCCCGGCAGCGAGGGCACGGCACGGCACGGCACGGCACGGCATAGCACGGCCCGGCACGGCACAGCACGGCCCGCCTGTGGAGCGCCCTGTGCGGCTACTGCCTGAGGCCAGCGCTCCCTCATCCTTTCCTGATCCTTCCCTTCCCATGAAACCAGCCTTCCCTGATCCTTCGCATCAAATCAGCATTCCCTGATCCTTCCCAGGAAACCAGTGTTCCCTGATCTTTCCATTCCCTTCCCAGCAAGCCAGCCTTCCCTGATCCTCCCCTTCCCAGCAAACCAGCGTTCCTGATCCTTCCCATGTAACCAGCGTTCCCTGAACCTTCCCAAAACCCAGCATTCCTTGATTGTTCCCTGATCCTTCCCATCAAACCAGCATTCCCTTCCCTTCCCTTCCCTTCCCTTCCCTTCCCTTCCCTTCCCTTCCCTTCCCTTCCCTTTCCCCCGCTCTCCCCGATCCCTCCCAGCTCCCCCGGCCCCCTCAGGGTCCCCCCGCCCTTCCCAAAGCCCCGAGGGGCGCTGGGGACACCAAGGGGATCCCGAGGGGCTGTCCCGGTGCTTTGGCAGGGAAGCTGATCCCATCCCAGCCCCTTTCCACCAGCCCGGGCTGCTCCGATCCCCTCCAGGCTCCCAGGGACGGGGAATCCGCAATTCCTCCGGGCAGCCGGACCCGTGTCCAGCTGGGCGAGGCGATTCCTGCTCAATGGGGTTTGAAGGTGTTCCCAACCCCACGGCTCTCGGGTTTTGGTTGATAATTGCTGCCCCGAGATGTGCAGGGTGTCTCTGTTTCGGCCCACGTGTCCGAAGAACGAGTCTGGACTCTTCACTTTTCAGTCTTGAGGTTGTTTATTAATTCTGATCTATAAAATTTTCTTTCTGCCCAGCCGAGATCTGCTCAGCAGGGCAGCCACAGGCACTCTGTGTTGCCCTTTTATACTACAAACTACGTGTAACATATTTACACTTAATTCCCAATACCTATCACCTGCGTTAGACAGCGCACTTCTACTCTAAATCAATCCCTAAGTGCCAGCATCACTGC